TTGTCTAAACGAATTTGTCAATCGGCATAATTGCCGGTATTGGTCTGATCAGAATCCACACTGGATGATAGAAGTTCACACACAATATCCACAAAAGCTGAACGTTTGGGCTGGTATAGTTGGAGGAAGAATAATTGGACCTTTTTTTCTGAGACAAACTTTAAATGGTGATCGCTATTTACAACTTCTGCGAGAACAAATAGTTCAAGAATTAATCCGTATATTTTAGCAAGATGGCGCCCCACCTTATTTCGATGTTAGAGTTAGGGAATACCTCAACACAATATTTACGCACAGATGGATAGGCCGAAGAGGACATATTGAGTGGCCGGCAAGGTCACCAGATTTAACTCCATTGGATTTTTTCTTTGGGGTCACTTAAAATATGTAGTTTATAAGGATCTACCTCAATGTCTGGAAGAACTGGAAGATCGAATCAGAGCGGCAACTCAATAAATAACTCCTGAATCTATTCAAAATAGTTTAATATAATTTGTTGATAGATTAGGATATTGCCAGGCAGCCGAGGGCTTTCAGTTTGAACATCTACTTTAAATAAATGTGTCTTATTAAGGTATAATCTAATTTAATTTTTATTATAAGAACGTAAGTCTGGGACCCACTTACTGTACCATTGATGAATTCAGACAGATTAAACGAACTCGAAAAAAAAATATAAATACAGGATGATCCATTTAAAATATTGCCCGATGACGTCATATCTTGAAAACCATTACGTATGCGGGAAATCTGTCAACGTCAATAAATAGTACATAAAATGTACAAAAACTTTTATCTAAGTCAAATTATCGTACAAGTCATAGTTAAGCCATAAATCAAGTGTTCCGCCCATATAGAATGACCCTGTAGATACTAACTCATGCGTGTTTATTTTAGAAGCAAGTTTTTATTTTGTGTTAATATTTAAATAAAGGTTTTAAAAAGTTGCAAAATTTTTCTGCTTCATGTTTATTCTTTTCTCTAGGAAAAATATTGCTTCTGAAAAAAAAAAATTGATAAAAACCTCTTTTTTTAAGTTTACATCAATGTTTAAAAAGAGATAAAAAAAATTGTAGTCATATAACTCATGGCCAAACAGTAATATTTTAATTTTTAGGCACTTGTAATATAAACTACTACAAGTTACATCAGGATTAAGAGTAGGAACAGCATTATCTTTTAAACGAACAGAACTTGTTGATATTCGGTCGATGTATTGATCAAAAAAATGGTTTGAACACAGAACACTGTGTTTTATAGGTTTTCAAGAGCTTCTATTTGCAAATTTCAACGAGACATTCTGACGTGTAGGTCCTGAAAAAATACCGGTGTTACTTCCGAATATTTATTTGGTAAAAATGTTCTGTAGCATATGTCGCTGGTGTTAGAAGAATTGGGTTCTTTTGTAGAAATAACTAACGAGTCATAGGTAGTAGAAAAAGAAGTGTTTTTAATTCACTATTTTCACTGAAGTAAATACATAGTAGTTGATTCCATTTAGATATAATAATTTTCTTATCTTCACTAAACAGTTTTAAATATTTACAATTTTAGTTCATCACAATTTGATTAACTAATACAGTTGATTTTTTAGTTACCAACTTGAAAACATTTGTTTGTAGAATTTCTTATGCCATAATAATTGTAGAAGATATAACTTTCACCAGAAAATAAAATACATTAAACGCTTGTAAAAATGTAGACAGTAACGTTCCGTCGGCAGAAAGCACCTGAACGTTCGGATGGCAGACAACTGTGAGCGATGATGGCAAAAAGACAACTATATCGTTGGTGGCAATAAGACAACTACTGAATGCCGTTCGCGTCGAGCTCACCCTAATATATACTGTTGAGCCGAAATGAGTGTCGGGGCATAGTTGACACACCTATTCGGTTTCAACCAATGAAAACATAATGAAATACGTCATTTGTGCTCCGTTAACTATGCACCGGACACTCATTTTGTTCCAATGCACCGCTGTGCACCTGAAAACACAGGTGTTCGACGTTCGGTATTCTGAGAAAAATGCTATTTATAGTTTTATGACTTCACATTATATTAGGGTAAAAAGCAGTCGAACTATTTGAGAATTGTTTATTTATTTAGTGGATGTAAAATATTAATTTGTTGATGTTTTTACTGGTGAAATTGTAGAATTTAACCATACTGGCGCGCGAAACACAAAGGAAAACAACATTGAATGATGATAAATTAAAATGAATAACAATGATAAAAATATCTTGGAAAAAACTTGAAGGACCAGCCAGTGTTATCGCACTGACACGATGTATGAATAACAAAGTTTAGTTTTTCAGATGTTTGTTGCGCAAGCCACGCATGATTTCAAACATATGACAGATTCATAAAACGAAAACCAGGTTGATAAATAATAAGTAAGAAAAAATAAAGGAAAAATGGCGTAAGGTTATTGACCAGGTCACTCTCGAATCCTAGCGTTTCCTTTCGTGGAGCATTTGGATTCGACCTAATCCAATTGCGTATTTAACAACCTTATGCGAAAGTAGGTACCTAACTTAAAAGCTAATGCTCTGTGTTGGGCACAAGGGACAATTTAACAATTGGTCTCACGTAGACTTCATCTTGGGTTTTGATGCGCACTGAGCGTGATTTGCCATCCTTTCCAGGGATCAACTCCAATATCCTTGCCAAAGGCCATTTTAATGGAGGGGTGTCATCTTCCCTTAATAATACTAAATCGTTGATTTTGAATTCAGGTGTAGGCTCCATCCATTTGGGCCTGTTCTGTAACCTGTAATCGGTTCCAAAACTGTTGTTTAAGGCGATTGGAAGGAATCTCGGCGAGATTTTTTTCTGGAAAGGACATCAAAGGCGCGCCTATAAGAAAATGTCCTGGTGTAAGTGAGTTGAGATCTGAAGGATCGTTTGATAAGGGGCAAAGCGGCCTACTATTCAAGATGGCTTCTATCTGTGAGAACACAGTTGATAGTTGTTCAAAGGTGAAAATAGAGTTTCCCATGAGCCTAACAAGGTGGTATTTTGCACCTTTTATTGCAGATTCCCACAATCCACCCCAATGTGGTGAATGTGGAGGAATGAACTTCCACTCTGATTCAGTGGCAAGAAGGTAAGACTGGATTGACTTCATATTATATTAGGGTAAAAAGCAGTCGAACTATTTGAGAATTGTTTATTTATTTAGTAGATGTAAAATATTAATTTGTTGATGTTTTTACTGGTGAAATTGTAGAATTTAACCAGGTTCTTTAGGAAATCTAAAAGAAAAACATTTGATATTTGGGATTCATTTATTGGTTAAAATATGAAACAGTTTCATATATCCTGCCATTTTGTGTTATGTGGGAAAAAATAAACTCTTACACAACATAAAATGGAATTTCTAAACAATAATAAAATAATAGAAAACCGTAAGTATATGAAACAATTTCCGTAGGATATTTTAACCAAGAAACTATTTAAGTATAAGTAAAATATAAAAATAATTTTTTTCAAATGCTACCCTGTTTATTGTTATCATTTTTTATACTTACCTATGAAATGTTATTCCTGTCGAATCCTTTTTGTCCACTGCATTCCTGCTATTGTAGTTGCGAAGAGCACATGAAGCACTTATTGTCTTTCACTATGATATTTAAATATCACACAAACAGCAAATAAAAAAACGAAAATTGATCATATCAGTTAAATCATAATGCGATAACTGTTTGACGCAAGTGTCGCATCAATATGGCGGATTGATGCCGTTTTTGACCACATGATCGCATCTCTCTATAATACTACCTCAATTGTTTTATGTTAGATGTATTTCTGAAACGTAACCAATAAAGCTCAGTAAAAAGCATGTAAATCTCTTCTTTATATAAACGTATTAAATCAGAGAGATTACCAAAGCTTATTGATTACCCAATCGAGTGAGCGTTTTATGAACTTAACATTTTTGTCAGTTCTTTTTTTTGCATCCAACACAAACTAACTTATTACAAGAGCGATCAATAGAAGACTACCTTAATATTTTCTATAAGGTTTATATCGTTAACAAGTATACAGTTCTTATATATAACGCATTAGGAAAAATACTTAGAAGAGGGAAGTATTTTTATCAGTTTTCAAGGCGATATAAAGTAAGATATTAAAAAGGAAAGTGTAGTTACACTAACTCAATTAACTGAAACTAATGCAAGTGCAAGTGGTAGTCCCGAAATTAGCTGCTCAGTTTAGGAAGTATCTAAAGTTGACAAGGAACCATTTCATATAAATCATGATGTAATGTATTTAGATTGTATAGCTAGCCGAAACTTTAATAATGATTTAATAGTTTCTACAACACTATCAACTAAATATAATGCTCCTAGCAGGATACATTTATGATATAATAAAGTATGTTGCTAGATCCTTCCATGATACATATCTGTTACCTGTTGTACCCATAAAAGGAAGTAAACATGTTATTAACAGTATACATCTCTGATATATTATTATATGCTTCTAGACCTTACATGATACCTATCTGTTACCTATTGGGCCAATATTCTTAATGTTTAAAAAAATGTCTCTATCATCTCGAGCTATCAGAGATGATGACATTTATATGTTCAAACAAGTCGCATGAATGTTACAAATAATGTGTCTGTCGTTTCCTGTTGCGTAAATTATGTAATATACGAGTATATGTTTCAAATACATTATCTGTGTTTATTGGGATGTTACCTCCTTAACCAAACGATACGATGAAACAATTTCTCAAAACTTACCCATGACGACAATGGGTCTTTATATGTAGTTGTTGTAGTCTGTCTTAGTTATGTACCTACTAGTCTTCCTGAAAAAGTGTTGTCCTTATTTGTGTGTTTGTGCAGCGGAGCTATTTTGTCCGCCCGATCCGCAGGACTTTTCTTTTGGATTAATAAGTAGGATCATCAGAAAACCAATTAATAAAAGCTATAATTTAGGTCCAAATTGTGCAAACTCATATTTACTCTTTTTTATTTAATTTTTTTAGGGAGGACAATTATGCTGGTTTGCAAATTGTAGCTGGAAATGTGAACCGGTAGATTTTTCTACGAACCACACTGCTTTAGAGGTAAGCACTTTTTCTTTAACACTTGGTTCTTTCGTTCGTCCCATGATGTAGGAATGAATTACACCAACGAATACTATACCTTTCGTTTGGCCAGGTGTAAAATCCACTACAGCTTCCTGTCGGCGATGTATTGTCCACTGATGATTGTTTTCTCCATCAGCTATTTAGAAGGAGTGAATTACACTCGTCATGTGTATAAAGAATAAGGAGAAAGTAAACTAGGTAAATAAGGAGGTGTAATTTGCACTGGTGCACACTGCACCAACAGCGAACGAAAGAACCTACTATAACATTTTTATTGAATAGTTAGGATGCATTTATTTTATCTTAAACGTCTGTCAAATAAACATGTAATTATTAAATTATTATAAATTTTTCACCAGTTACCTTAAATATCTTCAATGATAAGCATCTGTAGGCTTATGTACATTAAAACTATTAATACAATGATGGCAAGAAAAAGGTCGGTACCGTTGCCATCTACCAGTGACTCTATTTGTTAATGACAACGTTAACTCTGTACTACATCTGCATGTATTATTTACTATTTATTATTTGCTTTAACACAAACGCAAGACAAAATGTTTGATTTTCTATCCGTCTATGAGAATTAAGGTGAGGTTCAAAGCATACGTATATTGAAGCTGCAGGATTATGTTTCTTTATTTGTTTTTACTCCCGCATATGTTTATAATCTGGATAAGTGTCTTTTAAAGCCACAATGTTTAGAAAAGAGTTCTAAAAAGATCTTAAGTTCGTTCATGCAATTGATTTCATCTGCTCTTAGAAACTTTTAGATTATTTTCTCTATCTCTATGAATAGTCTAGAAAGTTACAACCAGGAGTTATGATTTTCTATATTTACCTGTTTGATTAAGACTCCTTTAACATGTTGATATAAAATACCACATGTGGGATCTGGTCCAATTAGAGGAGGTCTGCTTTCTCGTTTTCCAACAATCCTTTATGTCTTGAAACCCATTCCAGAATAATCTTGCAGTCCAATATTAATTTGGATTGTACTTTTCAGTGCTTTAAGGAATGCCTGACTATGTATAATATATTAATGACCCTCTTATCTATAGAGAGTAATATAGCAAAATCAGGCATATATTGCTGTTACTTCAGCCTTTTAGACTTTTGCCAGTTATCTTAGGTGTGAAGGACATTATCTGAATTAAAATGAGTGGACTAAAATACCGTGTAAATGAAAAGGATGCACTTTACTTAACACTTTTATTTACAACACAACTATATACACTATTTACAGAGGGGTGAAAGATATGGCAAGAAAACAGACCTACTTAAGATGCCCAGAAGGCAGAGCAGCTTGATTAGGAATATAAATTATAATGCAATAAAAATGCAATCTGTTATGACTGCTACTACTGACCAGTTAACAGTTCTTAGTGAAGTGGCAGTATTTTGTGGCTGACTAAATCAAATCCAGCAGGAAACCGAGTTGTCAATTTTATCAACTCTAAGTAATAAAAAGTAACTAATAAAATAATAGTAGTGAAGGTTGTCTCCAACACCAGGTTTAAACTATTGATTTTCATTAAGTTCGCATGATAAACCACATATCCTGTGATTCCTGTGCTGACTTTATTATTTGATCTTGCCAGATTGTAGGTACAAAATAATAATTATTTTTTCTAGAATATTTTTTGATATTAAAAACTATTTCTTGAGCATGCTCCTAAAGATATTTAGGTATTAATCAGTTAACAATACTTCAAATCAGGTCAATATTTTTGGTGCGATATTAAAGGTATGGTACCAAAAACTCGACTGTCAAATGGAAACATCGACATTATAAATATTATTATTTTATTTTTGGGTTTTTGATATACCTATGCTCTCGTTTATTACCATGTTAGATAATGTACCGTTTTCTACAAAATACAATTTTAACTTGTCCTGTTCATTAGAAATCAAGGTGCTATCTTCGAAAGATTTTAGCTACCTTAGAAGGCATTTTTGTATGAAGTAATGTTGCTTAAAGATGCATTTAATTAGGATTTGTTGTTTTTATTTGGCAGGGGTTTCTGAACACCATAAATAAATTATTATTTGCCATAATTTTAAGGAATATGATATGAAATAAGTACGACATATTATTTAATTTTTTAGGTCGCCGGCTTATTTCACTTCTACTATCTTGTTAAAATTACCGAACTCTTGGATACCATCTTTTTTGTACTCCGAAAAAAGAACCGTCAAATAAATTTCCTGCATGTATACCATCACACCGTCATGCCAGTTGTGGCGTGGTTCGGTACTAAATATTTACCTGGAGGTCATGGCGCTTTCATAGGATTTTTGAACTCATTTATTCACATTATTATGTATTCTTATTACATTTTGGCTGCACTTGGTCCGAGTATTCAAAAGTATTTATGGTGGAAGAAACACATAACTACTATGCAATTAGTATGTATTTCTTATTTAATAGATATTTATGTAACCAGTTATGAAATCCATTTTTTGTGTAACAAACAAAATAAACGAGTTTACTGGAATTTAAGTCTTAAATATTATTATTTTTTTTTTTTTCATTATTTTACTAAATATTATTTGTTTTATTTTCAGCTCCAATTTTGTTGTATTTTTATCCACAACAGTCAGTTATTGTTCCATGATTGTGGTTATCCATACTGGGTATTTTTCGTTACAGCTCCAAATGCTATCTTCTTCTACCAGTTGTTCACCCAGTTTTACAAGGATGCTTATTTGAAAAATAGATACAAAGTGCTTAAAAAGGAAGCAAATTATGATTATAATGAAGATACTACTGATGATGAAATTAGTAATGAAAATGGCAAAATTGTATTGAAAGATAAAATAAATTAAAGTTGCTGTATTACTATAGTACATATTTTAATAAATAAAAAAAGCCCTTTTTTTAAATACCAACGTTTAACTCTTTGTACACTGTGCTTATACAGGTTTTAATAATTGCAACAAAATTAGTATTTGTGGAGGAAAAAGAGTATAATTAAAGTCTATTAAAAATAAGCTGACCACTTCTAACTTTTTAAAGCCATCATAATCTTCCTAAAAACGCTCTTACTGGTTAACAATGTGTTTATAGTAAAAAAATTGAGGGCTAACTTGCATCAGGTAGATCGGATAAATCAACTAAAATACCAAAAAATATACTATTATTTTATATTAATATAATTTCCTTTAATATTCTAAAAAACAGTTGAAAAAGCTGATCATGCGCATAACCGCTGCGACATAAAGTTGATTATTTGACATTTGCCAAATTTTTAAATTCTTATTGTAATTTATGTGTCTAAATCTGTTTAATTTTAGTTAATTTAAAATTGTTTAGGTATTCAAAGAATGATGTTTAATGGGCAAAAATTTAGTTTTGATAGGGATTAGATTTACGGGTATTATAAGGGATTTAACACAAACAAAAACAGGTTACTTTACCTATAAATATTGATTTTAATTTTGGGCAATTGAATTAACAATAATTTTGAAACGTGGGTATCTATTCACATAGATTTTGGTACATTTTACTTTATTAAAAGTTTCTAAATTATGTGTAGTGGTCAGTTCAAAAGATAAACATAGTTTTATCAAAAAACAAAAACGGTGAAACGATTTAATCAGTGTAAAACTCAATGATTGCCCAAACAATACACAGGGGAGGAAAAGCTTGATTAAGGTCGCCAAAGTTATCTTTTATTATTCGAAACAATAAAATTAGGTCACCGCGGAGACGTCTCTGTTGGAATGTTATAAGATTTCCCATTTCTAACTATGATGGTCTAATGCGGCCATTGGGTAAGCCGGGTGGCGCGGCATTGAACACATTTCAGCATTTGTTGGTCTCGTACAAGGTCTGGGGTAGTATTCTCGAGTCACGAATATATATTCGCATGCGAGATTTATGATTTGTCTCACTTGGTTTTCGTTCAACAAAGTGAGACACATTGTAAAACACGTATGCGAATGTCGGTAGTCGTGATTCGAGAATACTACCCCCGGACAGGCCCATGACACTCCCTAGGCGGGAAAAAGACGCGCACCTTTTACTGCGCTGACGTTTTCGGGATATAACCTATCACTTGTCATAAATCCGGTTAAAAACTCGCTACCATGCGCAGGCAACCCATATTTCGTACACAAATATAAACTTTGGTTTACATTTTATCGAAGTAGTTTTTGTAATACATTCACAGCTTAAAAACGGAAAATTTGTTATTTTGATAGTGGATTTAGATCAAAAATACCCCAAATACACTTCAGTGTGTGTTTTATCCTTATTATTGTTCATTTTATTTGAGGACATTGGAATAAATAGAGTACTACAAGTAATCAAGATAAAAAGGTGTGTTATAAAAAGAAAATACATTGGCTTCGACTGATTTATGTTTAATATGTTTTCGTGAAGTATTTTCAACATGCTAGTTACTTGAATGGTTGTAAATTGTACGTGTATAAGTGATAAAAACATCTAGTGCTTTGTGCTTCCTTTTTTTTGTTGGTGTCCCAGCCCAGCATTCCTAGCCAGCAGTAGTAACAAAAACATTAACATTGTCTACATTCAACCCATTTACATGTACATGATTTATCAGCTAAAAGCAGAATACAATATTTCTCTGCAAAATGTAAACAACGCTACAAGGAAAATTGCTCATGTATAAATTCAACAATTAAATCAAAATATATTATTTTTAAAGGACTTATATCATCTATTATGTTAATTATAAATATTATAAGTATTTATAACAAAATAATAGTTGTGTATTAATAAACCTGTTGCTACTCCAAAAAATATATTTTTTATTGATTATCAGGTATCAAAAATATGTGTACCTATAGAAATTTGTTGAAATGTTCTATTGCTCTTAATCTTTTTAATGGGTTCTTATTATAGTTGCAAATAAAAATCAACACTTTTTATGCCTCTATTTAACACTTACAAACGTATGCATATTTTAAGTTGTAAGGATCCATAGCCTCTTAATATTTCACATTAGAAATAAGACCTGTGATGTCACATTAAATCGTGAATATGAGGTAAAGGATTTGGGAGTTGCCTTTCAGTCTAATTTGAAGTTCAATAACCATTTTTTACACATAACCAAAAAAGCAATAAAAGCATTATGTTTTTAAATCAGAAATACAAAAAAAAATAGGATTACCACCAAAAGCAGATTATATAATGCCTTAGTAAGACTCCATCTTGAGTATGTTTTACAAGTATGGATGCCCTTGGAAGCCACACAAATTGATCATATTGAAAAAGTACAAAAAATATTTTTAGGGTACCTTTATGTCATAAAAAATACTTATACCCTTATACCTAAGATCTCGTATAAAACTATGCTCAATAGTTTTAAGATTAAATCTCTTTTACAAAGAAGAAAGCAACAGGCTGTGATATATTTTGTACTCTATTTTAAGTGCAAAGATTGTGAATTGATTGGCTATATAAATGTTAATGCGGCAAAGATTAATCTAAGAACCCCAAGTAACAAAAAATTATTTGATTTAGATCCAAGTAGTATATCTCCTTTTAACAAGACGATGACTGTTACCAATGAGTTTCTTAGCGAGATCCAAATAGATATCTTTAATGTTAGCCTAAAAAAGTTGAGGACTGTACTAAATTAAGTTCACTAGATATAAAGGTTTGTTTTGTTTTTGGTCTTAAATTTCTTGTTACTTAACTCTACATGTAACTACTATTAATTTTTTTATAGTATCCAATAAATAAATTATATCTTATGGCTGCTTCAAAACAATTCTGTGTGTAGTCACTTAGTTTAAAGTCAATTTTAAATTACTGGTTTTACAAGAATATCAAATAGTAATATGTATTGTGTCTATGAATTTGCTGTGTGTAGTAAATGGCCAATATACATAACTTTGATATTTTTATCACAAGTGTAAAAACTACGAAAACCATATACATATAGTTTCCATTTTAAAATAAATTCAAATTAATTCATAATAAAAAATAACGATTTTAGTCTGCCATACTTGAACTCATTCACAAAAACAAGTCACTGAGTATATATTTGTAAAAAAACAACACTAAATATATCTCCGTTACAAATTTTTAAATTTAAAACTACATACTTTCCTATAGATTTTGCAGTACCTAAATAACGTATAGAATAATTTTTTACAATATACTAGAAAAGGTTTAGATTAGAGTAATTCTTAAGAAATAAAGCAATACCTCTATTTTGTTCTCTAACCTTGTGTGTTATATATTTCCCTTGACAAACTAACGTTATATTTTGAACTAAAAGTAATTAAACTTATCACCAAAAAGTAATATTTCACATATATAAAAAATTTTAAAACGGTTCTGTCCTTCTTACATTTGCGAAGACTGCCCTGATATCTAATCTATTTTCTTCTTCAAATGCCTCGTTTGAGAATCCACATCGGATGCATTTTTTACATCTCGAGCGTTTTTTTATCCACATCGGACACATCTGTCTCATTACATTTACGTATACTGAATCACGTGATCAAAGATTTATTACATCTCAGATGCATCCGATGTGGATTCTCAAACGCGGCAAAAGTAATTAAGTTGTCAACCGTTGTCTATAAAGGTATCTCACATCTCCCTCATACACACGAATTTGAAAAGCAGCAGAACAAAAATTCAACTAACCATGTATTCCAAGTCCGTGTAAAGAAAACTTTTCATATCCCGAAAACGTCAAGTGTCAACTAAAATTTCTACTTTTAAAGATCAAACGTGCCGCCTCAGAGTGCCAATACTGATTGGTATATATACTGGGGTCTGGATACTTACCACACGTGTGCCTGCGAGCCTGCATTCTAGGATAGGATGGACGTCTGCATAACGTTTCAAATGATACTTTTGAAAATGTTTTTTGAATTAGAAATAATCTGGGAGTTTGCGCGTTTGCACACATTAGCGATATGATCACTCCACGATAGATTAGAATTCACTGTAACACCTAGATCGTTGTACGGGGACACTGTATTTAATGCATGCATGTTGATTGAATATGGCAACTCCGGATTATTTTTACTAATATGGAGCACAACACATTTGTTTATATTTAGGGGCAAGAGCCAGTCGCAACACCATGGATGGAGGCCTGATAGTCGTGAAAAGGGTTGGCAAATATTTTTGTATCATCGGCATAAAAACATATTGAGGATGAAACTAGTGCTTTAAGGTCGCTTACGTAAGCAGTAAACAACAAAGGGCCGAGAACCGAACCGTGTGGAACACCACTTGAGACTGGTCTTTTTAAAAAGAACTCGCTACCAACTCTTGCTTTAAAAGATGTGTCGGTTAGAAAATTTAAGATCCAATTATGAAGGTTACAGTGGATGATTAGATATTACAGTTTATGAAGTAGTCAACGTTTTGGGACTCTGTCAAAAGCCTTAGAAAAATCTAGATAAATGACATCGATAGGCTTTTTATCGTCAACGGATTTCGTCCAATTATTAATACAATGGAGGAGGTTGGTAAGAGTCGATCTTCCTTTAATGAAGCCGTGTTGTTGTTGAGGTATAACATTTTCATGGATTAAAAAAGGAGGACGTTTTTTCGGCAATAATTAATTTCATAACCTTGCAAATAACTGGTAGGAGGCTGATCGGGCGGTAGTTATTAGGATAAAGTTTGAATGAGCATAAACTTTACCAGTCTTTTGAAGAAAAGAAGTGGCCACTTTGGATGAGAGAGAAGAACGTATGTATTTAAAGATTTTTTTGGTATTGTCACTGTTAGCGATTGATTCTTCGTAAGATTGTCGCGTAGAAGACAGTTGCCGCTTGAGCTGATTGGAAAATCTTCTGTGACAGAATAAATCGTCGTTATCTTGTGT